GTGATTTAGAGCAATAGCTACCATAGGGCAGACAACTACTCCTTCACTAAATTGAGACGCTCTCAACTAAATCTTACACAATAATAACTCTTATTCCTATAATCACTAGTCACCATTTATTTGGTCAGGAAATTGCTAACTAGCTTAACAATTCTCCGTAAGTGTGACCCACCATTTTCAGACCTCGAAGGTCCACCCCAATAATCCTGCCATAGAGAAGGCAATATTGAGGCAAAACCTAAGAAACTCTAATCCATTTATGGAGTTTGCCTTGGTTTTGATTCCATACAATGGACCCTCTGTAGGGATGATCGCTCCAGGACGACACTCAGGTTATAATCTCACGATGCAAACTAATGGTGGAGACCATAGGATGCGTTGTCACACGTCCTTCTCCCACTTACTATGATACCAACTCCATTCACCTCAATATTGAACCATGCAAACACCTTCCGTAGGGAGGCTGTGCGCAGGACGACACRAGGCTGAGCATGGAACTCATAGTGTGAACTTTAAGGAGAAACGTGAGAAAAAAATATGTCATATATACCTTGTATATAAAAAATATACGTAGTATATTATATATATATTTTTTCTCCCACTTAGTATTCTAAGACTAGGGTATATTACTTAGGTAAATTTCGGCTAAGTGAAATTAACAAAGTGAATTTTTAGTCAGCCCAATATAACTATTTATATTGGTAGTTGTACACTAATGTTTTGGTTTATTAAACGTTTTAATAAACTAATGACATTATTTTGTATGCATATAAAATATTGACTCATTCAACCTTGAGGTCGATTCCCAGATAGAGGTGTTCCCTTACGATCAGCTTAAGTATCTCATCCTAGATAGAACAATGCTTAGACAGGGTTCCCTTATAAGCAATATTTTATATTTAGTCTTTTATTATTTCATTTTAAATGTAGTTAAAACAAAATAAAAGACTACCCCTAATCATATTAGAAGATATAACCTAAGGTCAAATTAATTTTAAACCCCTTTAAAATTAATTAACTTAGACTTGTGTTTGCATGCAACTCTTAAATATGGATTTTAATTTCTATCTACCAAAATTTTAATAACTCTTATAAAATTTCAGAAATTAAACCTATAATCATGCATTGACGACATACATTAATATAAAAATTATATTAACTAAAGTAATGTTATGCTCAATGCAACTTTATTTACATCTAATTAATACAACACTTATATTAATCAATTATGAATATCAAAACAAGCATCCATACATTATAACAATTATAAATATATGATGCATGAACATACATACATATAATATATCAAATATACATATGATGCATGTATCCTATGGTGGGATTTGAAAACTACATGACATACATTATGTAGTATACATTTAATTAAAGTATACATTGAAAATGCATAAAATAATTAAATATCAAAGTTGGACCGAATTTTGGCATTCTAAGAAAGCAAAAAAAAAAATCGAAAAACGCCTGAAATTGCCCTCAAACGCGAAACAACACCTCCGAAACACTCGAGACAGCGCCGGTGCACCATAGGGCAGTGTCGTGGCGCTGCTGCAGCACTAGAGTAGCCACAACAGCGCCATGGCGCTCTGGTGCAGTGTCGCGGTGCTACTGCCCAGAAATGCAGCGCCAGGGCGCTGTCGTCGCAGCATGCTTCATCTTCTTCACCGTTTTCTGTGAAAATGCGCCCAATCCGATGCCACGAACAATTTTCGATCGACCCGAACTTACAGATTCGATACATAAACAAAATGCCCAAAACAACGAGCCCTTACATGATCAAATCAAGAGGAAATTGCTATTCTAAATACCAAAATTCGAAAACATCCAACCCGCAACCAAGGTTCGAAATGTCGATTTCGATGGAAATGTCGAGGTCCTAATTTTACGGAAATGTCGATGTCGATGGATATTTCGAGAAAAATTACGGAAATTAATAAAAATTATTTTAATTAGCAAATAAAATTTTAATTGTTGCTTAATTAAGTTATAATTGATCATTTTATCATCAAATGTAAAAATATGAGTAACTTACCTATGAAAACGTCGATGTCGATAGAAATGTAGTAACAAGATAACAAAGATTGATGAAAACAATTTTGAATTAGTAAATTGAAATTCAACGTTGCTTAACTATGTTTTATTAATAATTTATAACCAAATCTAATCTTAGTTACATAATTGAACAAGATATGAAATATTGATACATATACACATAAATATGATGATTAAATGAAGTTATTAGAAATTGAAGGATAAGTTTGAAATATTGTAATTAGATTTGTAAAGAAAAATAGGTCTAAGATTAAAAAAAAATCAACATGATAATAGTAAAAATTGAAATAAATAAATGGATTTAAATAATAATAATAATATTATTATTATTATAAGAAATAAAGAAAAGAAAAGAAAATGAGCGGAAGCGCCGTTGAACTTGTTCCCCCATCCCACGTCGGTTGGGGTAACGAGGGGGAGGGCAACACTCCCTATAAAATTCGTTCCCCACCCCTCTTATGTCTTCAACCATCTACGAAGTCGTGGATGGATTGGGCCCATTCTGTGGACCTGGCCATTTTAAATTAATTTTTTTAGCGATATATCGATATATATATGGTCGAAAATGGGAGAAAAAGGTTTTTTCCCTCTATGTTGATGTTGAGCATTTCAACACATCGACATGTTGAGCGACATGTCGACCTGTCGACTGACATTTATTACACTGCCCGCAACCCACATCCACGAAATGCAGAAAATACCCACCAAAACTGTGTGAATTCTATCCAAAAAATTCAGAACAGACACTCCGCTTTAATACCAATCCGCAGCGAAAACGAAGATCGTGTTTAGGAATCTCAAACGAACACTACCACGACCTTCCTTGCTATGTCTCCGCATAAGGTCTTCTGCAGATTAACAATACCCCACGTCACCACTTCACCACTCCTCTACGTTTTTTAGAGGGGTCAGTTATTTATTTATTTAATTAACATATATAATTAAATTAATTAACAATTAACTAATTTAATTATTAATCTAATTAATAATTAATCATTATTAATCTAATTAATAATTATTAATTTAATTATTAATTATTAATTAATTAATTAGATTAGTAATTATTAATTTAATGAATAATTAATTAATCAAATTCAAATATTAATTAATTAATTAATTAAAAATTATTTATTTATTTTTTAATTAAATATCACATATTTAATTAAAACTATATATTTAAATCATATTAAAAAAACATCTTTCTTGTATAACCTATAGTTTTAATATGAATTGAATTCATATTAATTATTTGAATCCTATTCAAACATTTCTCTCATAATATATAGTATTAATTTTGAATCTTTATCCAAAATTAATATATATTTATATATAATAATGTATCAATATACATTCTCTTATATAATTTGAACACTTCAAATTATTTCATAATTCTTGATCCTCGTTTTATCCGTTGTGAGCTAGCAAGGAGACCTAATGGACCTATAGATCAGAAGCTCCAACGATACGAGATTAATTGGTCAAACTCATTAACCGAGTTAATTAACATTCGTTAATTGCGGGTCAATCCACTAAAGACTCGTAGCTGCACTATTCTCACTGCATAATATTTTCGTGTCCATGGATGTACAACCATTAGCGGTAAGTCAATCCTTCACGAGTGCTCGTAACTCTAGTTGGGTCAAATTACCGTTTTACCCCTGAGTTACATCTTGCTCCTTAAATACCACTGCTTCTCTAATGAAAACCCCGATTATGGTCCGACCAATAACCTGAAGTCCCTATCGGACCAGTGAGAGGGTGGGGCCCCTTGTTCAAGTCCCGAAGTTAGCACTTGAGTGAATACTCATCTTCTCCCTTAAAGTCGGGGAGAAGTTAATTCCATCTTGTGAAGTTATGTTCTCAACTTCGCACTCGGTCTCGTCCCCAAAATGATAGGAATGTTGAGTCGACGACTTGGGCCACTCTCACCCATACAGATCAAAGAACGAGTCCTCACGGGCAGGAATTCATAACTCACTCAGGATTGAGAATGGGTTGTCTGGTCTTCTTATGAAATAACAATCTATTAGTCAACGTTGTTACATCTAAAGATTGGCTATTTCGCGGTCCGGTCTTATACAAACTCATTGTATAGGATATCCTCACACACATGTCTCCACACGAAGGACCTGGATCAGGTCGTTTGTAACATTTACAAAGTGGGTCGTATCCATAGTGTTGCCAAGATAAGGTATCCAACCTTATCCATATACTATAGACCCTTTAGGTTATTCCCGAGACATATCCACTTGTACATCGAGGTTATATCAAATATATACCCAGTATATATACTGTCTCGGTTACATGCAAATAACCTTTGATATTTAGTTTATTGGATTTGGACAATAAATTCAACAACAATTTAATTGAATATGAAAATATAATTTTATTGAATATAAATTTGTTTTCACATCATTACAAACTACGAGTTTAGGGCAACACACCCAACAAACATTAGGGTTTTAGTGACAGGTTTCTCACTTACCTGGTGTTGGTGAGAGTTCTTCCCTTTCATAGGTGTGGATGGTCGAAGAGGAAGGACGATGGTTGAGGTGGTAGGGGTGCGCAAAGCTGTACGATGTGTGGAGGATATGTCCTCGAGAAACAATGGGTGGTGTCCCCCATTTGCAGGTCGGCAAACCTTCAGCTCACGTGTACCAGGCTGTAATCCTTGGCGTCTTCTTTGTACAACAATGGTAACGACACACCTGTATGCCAACACAGTGAACGATGGTAATCGTTTGTGGTCTCGCACCTCACTGTCGCTTTCGGGATCCGACACGTGTTCTGCTCGAATTTACCCTCAACAAAACTAATAGATGAGTTTATCGAAAAATTGAGATCATCTAACACATTATAATATGAATTAATATAAAATTGAAATTTAGTTGTTTTTCTTTTCTTTTTTGTTAAACCCAACAAAGACCTACTGCCAATTTTGAAAATTATAAACCCTATTGTACGCTTCTCTGTCTTTCTCTGCGCCTCCGTTCAACAATTTCCCTATCACTCTCTCTTGCTTTTCGTCCGTCGGCCGCCGATTGCCGCCGTCTGCCACTGTCCGGCCGACGCCGTTCTTCCGTTTGTTTCTCTGATCGTTTACAAGCCCTCCCTATCAGTCTCTCTTTTACACATCGAAGCGAGGCGGCGGAGATGGCGGGCGGCCGGTCGCCGTCCGTTGTGAACCGTGGTTTTCTTCTTCAGCGGATTCAGTCTTGTCGACATAAATGTCCCACCGTCGACGACATCGTCGACCATCTCCAGTCCACTTACAGGGACTACCGAGGCCTCAAGAAGGCACCGTTCACTTCAATTGTCCAACAAACCCTCGACTCGCAGTTGAAAAACTGCCCTAAATCTACTCCCTCTACTTCCACACCGAATTCGATCAAGCGCCGACAACTAGGTTCTGAAGAACAAGACCCCAATTGCGGCCGTGAAAGTGCCATTCAGAAGAAGAAGCAGAAGAAAGCCGACGTAAGCGAGCAGAGGTTGCAGAGTATGGAGAATATGCACCTCAGGAAGATACAACTCAGTAGTCAGGATGATCCTTCTTCATCTTCTTCGTCGTCTTCATCGGATTCCGATAATAGTGGCGATGGAGCGGTATCGACATCGGAGGATGCTATATATGGAGAGAAATTCGAGCCCGAATTTGATTTGATGAAGTCGATGCTTCGAACATCTTATATCGAGTCGAAAAAAGTGAAGCCCGAGCATTTAGAGAAGAGTGTGGAATTGGAAGTTGCCACAGACAATAAGGTTGCTGAAAAAATTGACGTGGGAGGGAATGCGAGCAAGGGGCTATTGAAGAAGGAGGATCGAGGCTCTCTTAATGGGACAGAAACAGGGGAGGCGAAGGAGGAAGGGCCCAGGTTTAAGGATTTGGGAGGCATGAAAAGTGTGCTGGAGGAATTGAAGATGGAGGTCATTGTGCCGCTCTACCATCCACAGCTGCCTCAGTGGTTAGGGGTTAGGCCCATGGCCGGAATTTTGCTACACGGACCCCCTGGTTGTGGGAAGACGAAATTGGCTCACGCCATTGCGAATGAAACTGGTGTGCCTTTCTATAAGATCTCGGCCACGGAGGTTGTTTCGGGTGTATCAGGTACATGTTCATCTTGCAACAATAGTAGAAATTGCGTGTATTATAAATATATCACAACAATAGTAGAAATTGTAATATATCATGTTATGCTTTCTTACACGGTAAAATCCTAGAGTCATCAGAGTTGGACATTTTATCTTGGAAACCTAATTTTAGGATGGCACCCTTTAAAGTATCATAGTTGCACATGAGTAGAGGTTTTAAGCAGTGTTTTAAAAAGTGCGCCCAGGCGCTAGGCAAGGCGAGGCGAAATGAAGGAGGCGCGCCTTCTTGAAGCCCTCGAAGCGCAAAGCGCTGCGCTTCAGGGGCTTCTGTAAAACTATATAAAAAAAACCCTAATACTTGAGTTTAGGGTTTTTTKAAATCTCAAAATGGGCTCAAAGTCCATAATCTTTTAAATTTCCAATCTAATAAAGGAAAATATCTTAATCTTTCCATAATCTTTTAAATTTTCTCTCCCTCCATTTAGGTGAATCCCTTTAATATTATGTGATTTCTCTCTCTTCCTTCACATGGAAGGAAATATTTTTTCTATAACAAAACCTCCACACAAAATCTTTCCATCTCTGTCATTTCTCAACCTGTTCTCTCTCTCCTTTTCTCTTGATAATGTTTGAACTTTGAATATTATTTGGCTTTTATATGTTATATATGTGTATATATACATTTTTATTTATCTTTATATATAGTGCGCCTCACGAAAAAAAGGCCGCGCTTTAGTGCGCCCCGAGCTTTTTAAAACACTGGTTTTAAGAAACCATCATGGGGTTTGTTAGTGGTACTGGATTATGTGATGAAAGTTAAGGAACTTTGGGGAATGTGTTCAAACTCCATGTAGTCGCCTATGATTGTTTCGAGAGATTTATCGAGCTACTTGTAAGCTCACTTGGATACTCATGGTATAAAAAAGGTCGGGGCTTTAAAACTGAACTTTTTAGGTCTAAATGTAATTGCTAATCTATGTCGTTTAATATTGATTTTTTCATAGTTCCAATACTTATATTTTCTTGATAATCATATCTAAAAATATAAAGAATCATATCTAAAAACTTATATTTTCTTGATAATAAACAAACTTAATTTGAGATTGTGCTATTTTTTTCTAATATATATGTAATGTGTCCATTAAGTTGATGAAAAGATTTATCTCTTAGAGTAACTTTGGTCAGTTTTATTGCTATTTACAAGTTTCGACTTGTAGAGCTGCTTGATTTTTCTCTTTCAATGTTGTAAATGTTCTTTGTTTACTCGAAGTTTTTTATCCCTCTCTTTGTATTGGTCTCAATGCTACAACGAACAAGTTATTTTTTATGTCTTGAATATTATAAATATTCTTTTGGGCTTTTCAGGTGCATCAGAAGAAAATATTAGAGAGCTCTTTTCTAAGGCCTATAGGACAGCACCCTCAATAGTTTTTATTGATGAGATTGATGCGATTGCATCAAAGAGAGAAAATCTACAAAGAGAGATGGAGAGACGGATTGTAACACAATTAATGACTTGCATGGATGGTTTCCACAAGCTTGTAAATTCTGCTGATCCAAGCTCACAAAAAGATAATTCCAATGTTGGACCAGGCTACGTTCTTGTAATTGGTGCAACCAATAGACCTGATGCTGTTGATCCTGCATTAAGGAGGCCTGGCCGTTTTGATCGTGAAATTGTATTAGGTGTTCCAGATGAAAATGCGAGGGCTGAAATTCTCTCTGTTCTTACCAGCAACTTGAGACTGGAAGGTTCTTTTGATCTTCTAAAAATAGCTAGGGCAACCCCGGGGTTTGTTGGAGCTGATTTGACTGCATTGGCTAATAAGGCTGGTAATCTTGCCATGAAGAGAATAATTGATCAAAGAAAATGTGAGTTATCTACAGATTTTGTAGACGAGGAATATAAAGAAGATTGGTGGAAGCAACCTTGGGTTCCTGAAGAGATGGAAAAATTGGCTATAACCATGACTGACTTTGAGGTATCAAATATATTTTTGTTTTAATGATGCTTACTTCATGCAAATTATTCATCTTTTAAACGAATGATATTGACTATTTTTGTCATTTCTCTTTTATCCTGTGATATTGTGTAGGAAGCAATTAAAATGGTGCAACCTTCCTTGAGAAGAGAAGGGTTTTCTGCAATTCCCAGTGTAAAATGGGGAGATGTTGGAGGCCTAGAACAACTAAGAGCAGAGTTTGATCGATATGTGGTTAGACGTGTAAAGTATCCCGAGGATTATGAGGTATTTATTTTTTGTTTCTTCATTTATATTTGGAATGTCATTATTTTTGTTTCCTTTTTGCTTTCCCCCTAGATTTTTTTATTTTTTATTTTGTTTGTAAGAAACAATTTCATTGATGTGTGAAATTACAAAAGCCCAAGAAGGGTTTACATAAGACACTTCCAATTAGTCAAGAGGAAAGTATAGCTATAGTGGTGGAAAATAGGAGAAGTTTTACACCAAGTGACAACTTTGTATTCTATAGCATCAAAAAACCTCTCAAAAGTTGTTGCTTATCATTGAAGGTCCGCTAGTTCCTTTCGCCCCAAATAGTCCATGTATAAAACTCGTCCAAAGCAATTCTTTTTTGTTTTTGAAAGGGTGCCCAACAAGAGTGGCATCAAGGAGGGCAAGAGGATCATTTGGCAGAACAGAACTGTGGACCATCCAAAAGAGTTTAGAATTATCCTTCAAAAAGCAGAAGCATAGGTGCAGGTGGTAAAAAGGTGCACTTGTGTTTCCAATCTGACCTTGCAAACGGTACACCACTGTGGAGAAAGAGCCATGTAGGGGAGCCTTTTTGTAGCTTGTCATTTGTGTTGATGGTGTGGTGGCTAAGCTCCCAAAGAAAAAAGCATACTTTTTTTGGGCAGATACCCATCCAAATAGCTTTGTAGAGACTAGATCGGGGGATTTGGCCTCGGTGTGTGAGATTCCTAGTGAGAGAGCATGTGGAAAAAGACCCATTTGCCTCCAATTTCCAGAGAAAAACATCCATTTCAGCTGTCAGATGGACCTCAGACCCTCTAGCTCTTTCTTAATTGCCTAATTTCTTCTGATAGCAGTCAATTGAATTAGAGAATTTTTTTTTTTATTTATAACACTTCAGTTTAGGTTTTTTTGAGTTTCACACCCCTTAGTTTTGTAAATTTCATTTACAAATATTTCATTGATGGTATGAAATATACAACAGGCCACATGAGCAATTGCAAAAAAGCCTTCCTGCTTGTAATAAGATTGTTTAGAGAGTAACTATTAAAAGTGGAATAGAATCATTTACACCAATGAAGAGCTAAGAGAGTAACTCTGTCAAAAAAGATCTCAAAGGGGAGGTTTTTGTCATTAAAGGCCCTATTGTTCCTCTCCAACCAAATACTCCAAAAGGAAGTCCTTACGAATTGGGTTGATAATATTTCTTACCTATAAAATATAGTGTTCCTTTTTCATCCCTCTTTTTTACTGGGTTGATAATATTTTCATGGTTTATTTTTACTAAATTTTGTCATTCTTTACTTGAACCAAAATTTAATTTTTTTGAATTGTTCTAGGGCTTCGGTGTGGATCTAGAGACTGGATTCTTGCTATATGGTCCTCCAGGATGTGGCAAGACACTAATTGCTAAGGCGGTTGCAAATGAGGCAGGAGCCAATTTCATTCACATTAAGGTTTGATATTTAAGTGACTCCAAATTTAAAACAATAGCTTATTCTATTACATATTTTGAATGCATATTTTTTTTTTTTTATAACGATGGATTTATGTGTTGCATAGGGGCCCGAGCTGCTAAATAAATATGTTGGAGAAAGTGAACTTGCAGTTCGTACACTATTTAGTCGGGCAAGGGCATGCTCACCATGCATTCTTTTCTTTGATGAGGTATGTGACTCATGCTTTGCTGTTTGCCAGTTATTGTTGTTGACGATCATTTTTGTAAAGGGTTTGAACAACTAGGAATATATATGTATATATATAATACTAATTACGGTAGTCTATGACATATTTTTACCCCTTGGTTTGTGGGGATATCTCATCTCCTCTTTTGTTTTCTCTCCTTTTGATAATGAAAGCTTAGTTTCTTATAAAAAATAATACATATTTTTACCCATGAAGTCAAACAAAACTCAACTTTCTACAAAGGTTTTAATGTTATTTAAATGTTTACCTTTTAAATCGCACTTTCTAGCAACTTTCATCTTCACCTCACACTTTCTTTTCAACTATTCCTTTTTTCTTTAAAGAAAGAAAACAGAGATTTTATAAAAAGGAAGGAATCAAGTACAAAGTAGTTGACAAAAAAATCAACCTAAAAAACCATGGAGATTACAAAAGTCTTCTCCAATAAACACTAATAAACAAAAATCATAGTTACAATGAAATTTTACAGAAGCAACCCCAAATAGAGAAGCTCTAAAGCGAACAATCTTGTAAATTTTACATTTTCTCTAGAATGGTTATGAATTAGTGGCTGATTGATTGAAGAAAGGTTTTGATTTATGATATTTACATTTGCAATTGTTTGTAGGTCGATGCTTTAACGACAAAACGTGGTAAAGAAGGGGGATGGGTTGTAGAGCGATTATTGAACCAGGTTGGATGAAGTGCCATGTTATTGATTGTTTATGGTTTTCTTGTGCTTAGCCTCTTTATTTATTATTAATTTATTATTTATTATTTTTTCCCCTTTCTTTTCTTGTTCTTTGTGGTTGACTGGACCTAGTTTTCCTTTGTGCAGTTACTCATAGAGTTAGATGGATCAGAACAACGACGAGGTGTTTTTGTTATTGGTGCTACAAATAGGTTATTTTTTTTTGAAGTATTTGTATGCTTTGGTGATCTGCCATTATAATCTTGATACTCATTAAAGTTTATTTTGATAGACCTGAGGTCATGGATCCTGCTGTATTGCGACCAGGTAGATTTGGCAAACTTCTTTATGTTCCTTTGCCTGGTCCAAGTGAGCGAGGGTTGGTCTTAAAAGCTCTTGGAAGAAAGAAGCCCATTGATGTCAGTGTAGATTTACTTGCAATTGGACAAATGGAGGCTTGCGAAAATTTTAGTGGGGCTGATCTTGCTGCTCTGGTTTGTTTTGATCTCTCTGAGTTTGCAATATCGATATTATATGGTTAATTATGATTCCTTCTTTCTTCAGTTTACTTGGGGAAGGGAAGAAGGATAAGAAGCTCAGACCCAGAACACGACGACACACCAATTTCTAGAAATGTAGAATGTTTTCCTTAATAATTTTTTTACATAAGATATATAATGACATAGTAATACTTCTAAATAAATTAATCATACATATTGAACCTAACAATTCTTGGTGAAGGCTTTGACTGGGTGTAATGTTTTAGAAGATTCTTGATGAGGCTTTGGCTGGGATAATGTAGGATTGTTGCTTAGAGGTGTTCAGAAGGCTGATATTAAAAGAAGTTAGAATCTAACAAAAACAAAATAGAATGTGTTTCATTAATGCATAAGGACAATAGTACAAAATTCGTTACCCCACCTTCAGTGATTATTTTCTGCCCCGACTTTTCTATAATGCTGCTGAATTGGTGGGGTATTCTGAATCTGTTCCTTTTGGCTTCGGGTTGATCTTTGAACTGGTCTAAGATGTCTCTGATTGGTATCAATTTTGGTCAAGTGGTGGTTAACAGATGGGAATGAAACCTAGACTTGATAAACGGAGGAGTCTAGTCTTATCTAAAGGTGGTAGATTCACTTTGGCCCAAACGATTCTCAATAGCATTCTAGTGTACTTCTTTTCTGTTCTAAAGGCACCTAAAAGGGTGACTATCACAATGGAAAAATTGACGAGGGACTTTATTTGGACGGGGGGAGTTATAAACAGGGTAGCCGTAGCCATCTTGTCTAGTGGAAATGGACTTCATTGCCTCAACAATTTGGAGGTGTTGGGGTTGGTTCCTTGGCAAAGAAGGAATCATGCCCTCAAATTTTTTTTTAACAAGAAACACTTTTCATATATGAAAAGGAGAAAAAGTTTAAGGATACGAACTCCTATAGGAGTGAGAGAAAAAGAGAACAGACGAAAATAGAAAGTAGGCTCAATAAGTAGCATTACAATCAAAGTAAGAGTAATTACAAAAGGCAACTACAAACAAGACGATCCACCAAGACGTGGGACACAGAAAAGAGAAATTTTAAGAGTCTTTAGCTTTGGGTTCGCCAACTTTAACTTATGGAAATAAATCTTTGAGTTTCCCAGAGAATTTGGCTTGAATTTCAGCTAATTCTCTAGTCCAATCAGCTTGTACCCCCATTATTCTTCTAACATTAAAGCCCATTCGTTGCAAAGCCTGACAAGCCCAGAGTTGGGAAAGGTTAATATCCAATTGAGAAGGAGATAGGCTAGAGATGTATTTTAGAGAAGAGACGATGAATTCTTTAGATGTATTCAAAGGATTGTCATCAAAGGGAGATCCATGCAGCCAAGATAAACCTCTCAAAAAGAAGAACTTCAAATAAAGATGACGCCCTCCTCCTTTCATGGTTATGGAGGTTTGCTCACAAGGGAATAGTATTTGGCGTTGGGTGATTGCTAGGATCTACGGGCTTCAACCTCATAGGTAGAGCACAAAGGGAGCTAAAGGTTCAGCCAGAGGTCGTCGTTGGGTGGATATTGTAAAAAATAGTCAGATCTATATGAACTTGGTGACTGTCAAAGTATCCAACGACCATAGAGTGTGGTTTTGGGAAGCTGTTTGGCTTGATCCTTCCCTCCCCATTTCCAGAATTTTCTCCCTATCTTCAAAAAGGCTGCACGATTGCAAAGTGTTGGGAGGAAATTAATCAATCTTGGAACCTTGGTTTCAAGCGGTCTTTATTTGATAGGGAGATTCCCGAATGGGCTTTGTTCACAGAAAAAACAGATTTATTTCAATGTGGGATAGGCAAGGATAGAATTTGGTGGAAGTCAGACAGTAGTGGCTCCTTTTCAGCTAGATTAGCTTTTGCTTCCCTTGTTAGACCTTTGGAAAATTTGGATTCTTCGGTGGTCAACACAATATGGGTCTTCAAGGTCCCAAAGAAAGTCAATTTTCCTCTGGTCCTTTTTTACAGAAGTGTTAATAAATACGACTGAGAAACTACAAAGGCATTTCCCTGACTGGTCTCTCTCCCCCTCTTGTTGCCTTTGTGGCAGCAGGGAAGATTCCATGGATCATATTTTTCTATACTGACCATACATGAAAAAAGGATGGTCTTTCATTACTTCTAGCTTGGGTATCTCCTTTTGTTTGCCTAGAAAGATTTATGAATGGCTGCTGGAGTACTTTGGTGGATCACTCCTTAAAGGAAAAGCACAAATAGTCAAGAACTGTGGACCTCAGGCTTTATTATGGCTTCTTTGGAGAGAGGAATAGTAGGCTTTTTGAAGGAAAACTTTCTTCACTAGATTCTTTTTGTACTAGTATACTACACATTGCTTCTTGGTGGATTACAAATCACAAGAAATTATTTTGTAACTATAGCTTTAATTCTATTGTAAACGTTTGGAAAGCTGTTATTGTTTAAACTTTGGGAGGGAGGTTTCTCAACCCTGAGGCTGTCCTTACTTTTCTCATGCTGTTTTGAATATAAGTATCTTTATTCTTTTGTTTTTTGGATAAATAGACAATTCATTAGAGAAGAAACACAAAAACAGCCTAAGGGACCGGGGACGAGAAGACCTCCTCCACCAAGAGACTAACAAATCAGCGCTCTCCAATCTTGTAGAATCATAGAGAAGCTGTAGTTACAAAAGAATTTTGTATTTCTATGACACCTCCAAGAGGCTGTAATATGTACACTATTACAAAAAGAATCGAAAGACTTAGTTTTAAGAATGAATAAACCACCACTCAACCCAAAAGCTTAAGCTAATGGGTTGGGTAAATTTAATTCATTTATATGGATTCTAATACTCCCCCTCACTTGTGGGCTTGGAAAACAACATCAAGACCCAACAAGTGGAAATTATAATAAATGGAGAGGAACAACAATGCAGGGGTTCGAACACAGGACCTCCTGCTCTGATACCATTTTAAGAATGAATAAATCACCACTCAACCCAAAAGCTTAAGCTAATGGGTTGGGTAAATTTAATTCATTTATATGGATTCTAATACTTAGACTTAACTAAAGATATGAATTGTGTCTTCCTTCAAAAGAATCGAAGGACTTATACTTATCTTTGTTCAAAAGAATTAAAAAGAGAGAATTGATGGGCTGGCAGGGCTTTAGTTTTTCATTTGGTTTCTCTTTCATCTGGTGTGTTTGTGGTGTGTTCACCGCGTGTCAGAAGGCACACTATTTTGCACGTTCAGCGTATCTATGTTCGGCACGTGTTCTAACGTGCTTCCTAGGTAGAAGGAGAATCGTGAAGGTCTGTTTCTCATCTTTTTTATCATGACAGATGAATGAAGCTGCAATGGCTGCTTTGGAAGAAAAATTGACATTAATCGGAAGTAATTTGGATTCAACACCATCGCCATGTACCGTCAAGATGTCACATTTTGAGTGCGGATTAGCTAAGATCTCTCCATCTGTGTCAGAAAAGGTACTATTTGCCTCTCTTCTTTCTCATATTCAAACCCAAAATATTGTTAAATGTTGATTTCTAACTATTTTTTTTCCCTTTCTTCCTTGGTCGAAGCAAAAACAATTCTATGAGATTTTGTCAAAGAGCTTAAAAGCTGCATAGTGGACGGAAGACAATTCTACAATATACAAAATGATAAATTGTATGGTTGCTGGCAAATGTCAAGTGTTGAAAAGGCAGCAAAAAGAGTTGACCCGAAATGTGGGCCTCCTTCTGTGAAGGGAGGGGGAAATTGTTGTTATTTATCATCATTTTTCTTTCCACATTACAAATGACAAACATTATTTGCTGTCACAAAATTTTGTTTAATGTCAATGCAAAAATGTACTTTCATTCAGGATTATGAGATTATTTATTTAGGCCATTATTTCTCTTTCCACATTATTTGCTGTCAAAATTTTCACTCCATTGTTTTCATCTTGAAGCAACATACTGATTCTTCAGTATAAAACTAGATATCAACCATCATARGTGGTTGATTGGTCTAAAGAGGCTAGGGTTAATTAAGAGGGAATGAGTTCAAATTTCAGGATGATCACTCCCCTTAGGAATTAGTAATTTTTATGTGTTTTCCGACACCAAATATTGTCAAGCAGCCAAGGTAAAGTGGGTCACTTCTATTCGGTTTGCTCTTCTCCAATATTAGAGGTCTCATATCCTTTTCTTCAACTCATGAGGGTTATTTTGAAAAACTAACTTCTGTTTGATAAGACTGTGAGTTTGAATGTCATCAACAGGGAATTCTCCATGTTATTTAAGGACTTCATGACTTCATGCCTCATCAAAGATGCATCGAGAGGCCTTTAGTTGTGAGTTAATTGGCGCATCTCTTCTTCAACAAAGGTTAGTGCTTATACTTCCTGTTCAATAATATTGTGAGTGATATGGTTGGAATTGAAGATATGTTTGGATTAATGCATGTTAAATTAAGAATCATAAGTAAGATGAAAATAATAGTCAAAGCGTCAAGGTTTTGAAGATTAGCGGTTGGTTTCAACAACTTTCTGTGCAAAATTAAGCTCGATATGGAATCGTTAGGGAAAAGGGTTCGAATTTGTGGCAAAACCATATATAGAATGGGCGTTTAAGCTATTTTTGTGGCTAGGAAGGAGTTATTATGATTGAAAGAGAGCTTTTAGTATCTCATTATTACTACTTGTGTGTTTAAATAATTAAAATGTATTTATAGATCAGGACTTACTTGTGACGTCATCTTAGAGATATTGTGATTGTAAAATCACGAGCTAAGCTTCATGTAACTGCTCTAAACATTGTATTCTCTGATTTTTCTTTGCTTTATTATTATTCTTCATCTTTTATAGGATGATTGCATTATTGTTTCTTTTAACCATTGAACAATTCTTGTTTTAGAACAAGATTTGAGCTGTAGGATGATTCACTGCAACAAATATTACTTTCTATAGCATGTAATTATAGCATTTAGGTTAAACGTGCTATAATAAAAAAAGGTGCGAGTTTTGAAAACTTTATAAAAAAGAAAGCGCTAAATTAGAAAAGTTGTGTGCTTCGTACTTCTCACGTGACATGGGAAATCTATCAGTACTCTATCCTCTTTTCTCACTTTTCCCAACCCTTGAGCTTGATTTTCATCTCCCTCGCATAGCGATCAACTCTCTTATGTTTTCCATCTCGTCTCTCCGGGTATGTATCTTCTAACTTTTTCGTGCTTTTGCTCTCATCGTTCTCAATTCTCATGTGTCTAATAACCTTATGCACTTTCCATCTCATCTCAACTCTCTTATTGTTTTATTTTCTTGTATTACAATGGGTTAGCTGACCTTTAGCGCTTTCGATTTTTCTTCTCGGTTTGGTTTGCTTCTATTCTTCATTCACTTGCTCTTTTTCTTTAATCTTCACTACAATGGCACAAAAAGAGTTTCAGAATAGAAGATTTGAAAAATGTGTTGGGTTCAAGAAGCTTTCAGCTGCTTGAAAACGGTGAAAAGAATCTTTTGTTACAGTAATTCCCCCAAATTTGTTTTGTTAAATTATTTTTTTGTACTAATATGTCAGGTGGGGATCAAATTCATAACCTCTTGATGGGAGATATATGTCAATTGCTGTTGAGCTATGTTCGCTTTGGCGTTTTTTCAATTCTTTTAAGGTGATGGCTCCACAAGTTCCAATGTAAAATGTGTCGAAAAGTTCGAGAAAACTTGCAATGTTCCAACATTACTTTGCTCGATAAGTTTACTAATTCTTAAATGCATCTGAAAGCTTTTTTCCATTTGGTGAAAGCTTATTTTAGCATCAAATAAATTGTTACTAATTTTAAAGTATATGGATTAAATCGCTACTTTTAAAAGTTGAATGACTAAATCGTTACTTTAACGAAAGTTTACAGATTAAATGTGTTTTTTAACGTAATTTCATTTATGGATACCACACTAGACTGATGTTTCTTTTATTTTTGTGGTTATAAGCTTAATTACCACTTTCTCGTTTATCATTTTCTCTTAGAAAATTAGAGAACCAATTGATTTACTTCCTTTAAGATCAAAGTTTCAATTCAAGTTGAAAAGTTAAAAAATAAAAAAATAAAAAAGGAAAGAAAAGTCTACGCATTATGTTTTCAAAAGTGAATGGCTAAAAAGTAAAAACAAACCAATTGAAGTTAGGTTGGATTATTAACTGCTTTTAGAAAGTTGATGTCAAATTGTTATGCATGAAAATTAAAATATGGAGAAGAGAATAGAAACAGGTGAATTAGGGGGAAATTTCTTACAATAAAGAGACAACACAAGTTTGGAAACCTCTAATGATGAGATAAAGCACGAGATGGTTCCTCAATAATACTCTGTCTTCACGTAATTTATAATTATCATTTTAAATTTAAATATTAGATTATCAAACTTTAATGAAATTAATTTAGGTGTATTTTATCGATTGAGTTTGTCGTTGGATGGGTCGTTGCTTCCATATTCTACCAAGATAATAATGTTGAACTTTACTATAAATTTTATTAATTTTCTAGACTCAGTTTATGAAGTTTTATCCCTTAATTATTCATTCTTTTTAACTTATGAGCAGGGATGGATGCACGTTGGGATCTGGAGGAACGTTCCTCTGAATTTGAGATATATATAATATAGAGTACATTATTAACTAAAAGATCAAGTTAGTCGGGTAGCTTCCTTCTTCTCCTGGGATCTATTCCCAGCGGATGCATTCTTTTATTTTTTATTTTTTCATTTTTTACACCCTTCACGTCCTGGATGAAGCCAGCGACTGCATTGCTTGTTTCTTTATTGTTTTCTTTTTCTAAATATATTTCTATTGATTTTTGTTTTTAAGTATATTTATATTAGATTTTTGTTTTTAAATTTAATTTTATTTAATTTTGATTTTAAATATTTTTTTATTGTTGAGTCTCAACTTCAATCTATTTTGGTTTTTTAATATATTTTTACATTAATTCTAAATTTCAGCATATTTTAGTTTTTTTTTAAATATTTTTCATTTAAAATAAAATATTTTAATTCTATGTCTAATTAAGTTTTTCTTTTTTTATATTATGGAACATATTTTTTTAATAAATTTAAATTTATGACCCTAAACTTAGATAGATGTCATAATTTGTATTCTTCTATTCAATAAAAACATAAAAACTCACTAGTTTATAAAAAATCAAAATTCTAAAATGAGGTTTGATTAATATAAAAAATACTATTAAATAACTTTGTGAAACTTACAAATAAATTAAAAAACGTTAGGATGAGTATTGCAATTTCACCCTCAAAGTTTTAGTGGTAAAAATTGAACCCTTGAATTTGTATAAGTGTAAAAATTAAACCCTTAATTTTTTTATAAGTGGAAAAATTGTACCAATAGACTTTTAATTTTAAAAATAAAACCTCTAAAACATCGTGATTGAAAAAATTCACACGTAAACTTTCTAATTTTTAAAATTAAATTCTAAAAAAGAAAGAAAAAAATCTAATTTTACTGGTGCCCACAGAGCAGGAGACGCAATGCGTAAACAGAAACGACGTCGTGGTGTGGGGGTGGGGCAATTGTCGGACGAGCATGCGATCGACAGTTTGGTCGATTAAGTTTCTCCCTTTTCATCTCTCCTTTTCAGCAAACAACCCAACAGATTCTTCTCCGCCAATTCCTACTAAAATAATCAAACTAACAATTTTGCAATATCAACTAAAATAAACAGGTGGGTAAGCATCCAGCTCAGCTTACTTAGCAGAAAATCACAACTAATTACAAAATAACTAGAATAAAATCTCCATATCCAATACAAACTTCTTAGAATCCGAATCCGAATCCGAATCCAAAAATGTATTCTATTGTGTTTTTCTCGACTGAATTTAAGTGCTTTTTTGCAAAGAGTTCCGATAATGTTCACTAGGGAGTAGTCGTTATTCATTAGCTCCTCTCTGTAATTATCCTTTCTCTGAATGTCAGAAAGTTCAAGAGAAAACCTTAAATATTTATTACTATTGTTTATGCAAGGATATGCACAAC